CTATTTGAAAAGTGTCCTGAGATAACTTCTGTTATGAATTGGCGCTATACAAATAAAATTGAATTGAATTGAATAATAACAGCACTCTGCTGTAAATGTAAGTCTGATTATTGTATTATAGCAGAGTTCACCTGGATTTATAGATCATTGTTTACACTGTAAATATCTTTAATTAATTAATAGATTCTAATTATTAATTAGATTGTGATTGTAGACACACAACAGCCGTTGTTCAGGAGCTCACTGTTAGCAGCAGGTTAGCACACTAGCTAACGGCAGACTATGTTCCTGTTTGTGACCCAGTTTCTACGGTAACAGAGCACACCTGTCCTCACTGTGACCTCTGACCTCCAGTGAGGTCATCACAGAAATGTCTCCTGAGGGGGTCTGAGATCAGCTTTCCATGGCCCACTTACTGCACACACACACACACACACACACACACACACACACACACACACACACACACACACAAGACTCACACACAGACTCACACACACACACACACACACACACACACACACACACAGACTCACACACACACACACACACACACACACACAAAGACTCACACACAGACTCACACACACACACACACACACACACACAGACTCACACACACACACACACACACACACACACACACACAGAGACTTACACACAGACTCACACACACACACACACACACACACACACACACACACACACACACACACACAGACTCACACACACACACACACACACACACAGACTCACACACACACACACACACACAGACTCACACACACACACACACACACACACACACACACACACACACACACACACACACACACACACACACACACACACACACACACACACACACACACACACACACACAAAGACTCACACACAGACTCACACACACACACACACACACACACACACACACACACAGACTCACACACACACACACACACACACACACACAAAGACTCACACACAGACTCACACACACACACACACACACACACACAGACTCACACACACACACACACACACACACACACACACACACGAGACTTACACACAGACTCACACACACACACACACACACACACACACACACACACACACACA